GGATAGCAATGTTATTATTTATGTATGTGCTACGCCACTGGCAAAATGGGTTTCGACCATCTCCCGCAGGAGCGCGCCACCATCCAGCGCGCAGCCTACCACTGCCGACCGGAAGACCGTTGAATTTTGAACGGTCCAATGGGATGCCTTCCTCTCGGAGCGACCAGGAGAGAGGCCGGAAGAAGCTACCATTTTGACCATAACCAGAAAATCTGTTCGGTATAGACAATTTTTCAATTACGACAGTTTCTCATGAAATGTACATACAATACATTGAACAAAAACATAAATGTAATCAATAAAAATACAGTCCACTATACACAACAATTTATCTACAATAAATTGTACATCTGCCGTAAAATAATCCTCGAAAGAAGCGCTAGGTGAAAGGTCCATTGAATTTCACAAATTTCTCATAAAGTGAAGAAACTAATATATTGAGTCGTATTGAAAATTGTCTGCGTCAAAGAAAACACAGTTGCAGTCAACGCCGCAGACGTAGAACCTCTCTCTGTGCGACGTCTCTGGTAAGAGGAGTCGTAGGAGATCCTCTAGTAAAAACTGCCATCGCCAGGGTCTGATCACCAGCAATCCTTTCTTGAACTATTTCCGTCGGTTCAGGAAGGAGTGGCGGTTGAATACGCAAAATGTTGGTGTAAAATGTCACGTAGGGATAATCAAAAATATTATGCTGAAGCTTGTAAGAGGACGACGTAGAAAGCCGTTGCAGGAGAAAGCGACGCAAGCCCAGTAGGACCAGAAGAAGACGCAGTAAAAGAAGACGCCGAAGGAGGTGGAGATCCAAATGTGTCGTTTCGTATGTCTGGTGGATGAAAAATAATATTGTCTTTCCAATTTGCTGTCTCATCATGACAATATTTGAGGGAAAATTTTATTAGATTATTGGTTGGAAGGTATTATTGCATAACAGCAGGGATAGCAATGTTATTATTTATCTACAATAAATTGTACATCTGCCGTAAAATAATCCTCGAAAAAAGCGCTAGGTGAAAGGTCCATTGAATTTCACAAATTTCTCATAAAGTGAAGAAACTAATATTTGAGTCGTATTGAAAATTGTCTGCGTCAAAGAAAACAGTTGCAGTCAACGCCGCAGACGTAGAACCTCTCTGTGCGACGTCTCTGTCGTAAGAGGAGTCGTAGGAGATCCTCTAGTAAAACTGCATCGCCAGGGTCTGATCACCAGCAATCCTTTCTTGAACTATTTCCGTCGGTTCAGGAAGGAGTGGCGGTTGAATACGCAAAATGTTGGTGTAAAATGTCACGTAGGGATAATCAAAAATTACGCTGAAGCTTGTAAGAGGACGACGTAAAAGTCGTAGCAGGAGAAAGCGACGCAAACCCAGTAGGACCAGAAGAAGACGCAGTAAAAGAAGACGCGAAGGAGGTGGAGATCCAAATGTGTCGTTTCGTATGTCTGGTGGATGAAAAATAATATTGTCTTTCCAATTTGCTGTCTCATCATGACAATATTTGAGGGAAAATTTTATTAGATTATTGGTTGGAAGGTATTATTGCATAACAGCAGGGATAGCAATGTTATTATTTATCTACAATAAATTGTACATCTGCCGTAAAATAATCCCCGAAAGAAGCGCTAGGTGAAAGGTCCATTGAATTTCACAAATTTCTCATAAAGTGAAGAAACTAATATAGAGTCGTATTGAAAATTGTCTGCGTCGAAGAAAACACAGTTGCAGTCAACGCCGCAGACGTAGAACCTCTGCGCGACATCTCCAACGTAAGAGGAGTAGTAGCAGATCCTCTAGTAAAACTGTCCATCGCCAGGGTCTGATCACCAGCAATCCTTTCTTGAACTATTTCCGTCGGTTCAGGAAGGAGTGGCGGTTGAATACGCAAAATGTTGGTGTAAAATGTCACGTAGGGATAATCAAAAATATTACGCTGAAGCTTGTAAGAGGACGACGTAGAAAGTCGTAGCAGGAGAAAGCGACGCAAGCCCAGTAGGACCAGAAGAAGACGCAGTAAAAGAAGACGTCGAAGGAGGTGGAGATCCAAATGTGTCGTTTCGTATGTCTGGTGGATGAAAAATAATATTGTCTTTCCAATTTGCTGTCTCATCATGACAATATTTGAGGGAAAATTTTATTAGATTATTGGTTGGAAGGTATTATTGCATAACAGCAGGGATAGCAATGTTATTATTTATCTACAATAAATTGTACATCTGCCGTAAAATAATCCCGAAAGAAGCGCTAGGTGAAAGGTCCATTGAATTTCACAAATTTCTCATAAAGTGAAGAAACTAATATATTGAGTCGTATTGAAAATTGTCTGCGTCGAAGAAAACACAGTTGCAGTCAACGCAGAGACGTAGAACCACTGCGCGACGTCTCCAACGTAAGAGGAGTAATAGGAGATCCTCTAGTAGAAACTGTCATCGCCAGGGTCTGATCACCAGCAATCCTTTCTTGAACTATTTCCGTCGGTTCAGGAAGGAGTGGCGGTTGAATACGCAAAATGTTGGTGTAAAATGTCACGTAGGGATAATCAAAAATATTACGCTGAAGCTTGTAAGAGGACGACGTAAAAAGGCGTAGCAGGAGAAAGCGACGCAAACCCAGTAGGACCAGAAGAAGACGCAGTAAAAGAAGACGCCGAAGGAGGTGGAGATCCAAATGTGTCGTTTCGTATGTCTGGTGGATGAAAAATAATATTGTCTTTCCAATTTGCTGTCTCATCATGACAATATTTGAGGGAAAATTTTATTAGATTATTGGTTGGAAGGTATTATTGCATAACAGCAGGGATAGCAATGTTATTATTTATCTACAATAAATTGTACATCTGCCGTAAAATAATCCTCGAAAGAAGCGCTAGGTGAAAGGTCCATTGAATTTCACAAATTTCTCATAAAGTGAAGAAACTAATATATTGAGTCGTATTGAAAATTGTCTGCGTCAAAGAAAACACAGTTGCAGTCAACGCCGCAGACGTAGAACCTCTCTCTGTGCGACGTCTCTGTCGTAAGAGGAGTCGTAGGAGATCCTCTAGTAAAAACTGCCATCGCCAGGGTCTGATCACCAGCAATCCTTTCTTGAACTATTTCCGTCGGTTCAGGAAGGAGTGGCGGTTGAATACGCAAAATGTTGGTGTAAAATGTCACGTAGGGATAATCAAAAATATTACGCTGAAGCTTGTAAGAGGACGACGTAGAAAGTCGTAGCAGGAGAAAGCGACGCAAGCCCAGTAGGACCAGAAGAAGACGCAGTAAAAGAAGACGCCGAAGGAGGTGGAGATCCAAATGTGTCGTTTCGTATGTCTGGTGGATGAAAAATAATATTGTCTTTCCAATTTGCTGTCTCATCATGACAATATTTGAGGGAAAATTTTATTAGATTATTGGTTGGAAGGTATTATTGCATAACAGCAGGGATAGCAATGTTATTATTTATGTATGTGCTACGCCACTGGCAAAATGGGTTTCGACCATCTCCCGCAGGAGCGCGCCACCATCCAGCGCGCAGCCTACCACTGCCGACCGGAAGACCGTTGAATTTTGAACGGTCCAATGGGATGCCTTCCTCTCGGAGCGACCAGGAGAGAGGCCGGAAGAAGCTACCATTTTGACCATAACCAGAAAATCTGTTCGGTATAGACAATTTTTCAATTACGACAGTTTCTCATGAAATGTACATACAATACATTGAACAAAAACATAAATGTAATCAATAAAAATACAGTCCACTATACACAACAATTTATCTACAATAAATTGTACATCTGCCGTAAAATAATCCTCGAAAGAAGCGCTAGGTGAAAGGTCCATTGAATTTCACAAATTTCTCATAAAGTGAAGAAACTAATATATTGAGTCGTATTGAAAATTGTCTGCGTCAAAGAAAACACAGTTGCAGTCAACGCCGCAGACGTAGAACCTCTCTGTGCGACGTCTCTGTCGTAAGAGGAGTCGTAGGAGATCCTCTAGTAAAAACTGCCATGCCATCGCCAGGGTCTGATCACCAGCAATCCTTTCTTGAACTATTTCCGTCGGTTCAGGAAGGAGTGGCGGTTGAATACGCAAAATGTTGGTGTAAAATGTCACGTAGGGATAATCAAAAATATACGCTGAAGCTTGTAAGAGGACGACGTAGAAAGTCGTAGCAGGAGAAAGCGACGCAAGCCCAGTAGGACCAGAAGAAGACGCATAAAAGAAGACGTCGAAGGAGGTGGAGATCCAAATGTGTCGTTTCGTATGTCTGGTGGATGAAAATAATATTGTCTTTCCAATTTGCTGTCTCATCATGACAATATTTGAGGGAAAATTTTATTAGATTATTGGTTGGAAGGTATTATTGCATAACAGCAGGGATAGCAATGTTATTATTTATCTACAATAAATTGTAAGGTAAAGTCGCCTAATATGAGACCGTTCCTAATATGAGACCCTAGATGATCGTCTCTGTAGAGTCCTGTAAGCCCACATTCATATGATTTACAGGTTACTAGTGGTATAGTATGGGCCCTCTCCTCTAGATGGCGCAATATTTCATTTAACAGCTGTTTAATGCGAGATTTGTTAAAATTTGTACTGTGAAGTTTTTACCGTTTTCCCTTTATATATTTACTTTATCATCATGGTAAGTATATTTTGGTTTGTAATATGATTTGTATGTAGTACAACAAATGTAGTCTTATTCCCACCTTTTCTTTATCCATTCGAAATACAACAAACTAACCTATAATTTTTTTTCTAAATGTGTTGTTGGTTCCAAATATGAGACCCTCTGGGGTTCCCATTATGAGGAGGGTCTCATATTAGGACCCCGATATTTATATAGAATTTTTTCAGGGGAGTTCTTCTAAACGTCGCAAACAATGGAACAAGGGGCAAATGGTGTTGGCGATTAAAGCAGTTCGAACTCATGTCATGGGTTACAAGACAGCGGCGAAACATTTTCAAGTACCGAAAGGTACCCTTGAACGTTATGTTAAAAACATTAATTTTTCTCCTGAAGAACTCGTTCGTACAACACTTGGTAGAAAACCTGCTTTAGGAAAAGCTATCGAGGATGAGCTAGTTCGATACTGTCTCGATATGGATAATAGGTTTTTTGGTCTGCGAAGATCTGATGTAAAACGCATGGCCTTCGAGTTGGCAATTGCTAATAATATCCAGCACCCATTTTCACAGGAAAAAGGCGTTGCAGGAAAAAAATGGCTTAGAGGATTTTTCAAACGTAATCCCCAGCTGTCTGTTAGGTCACCTCAAGGCATGTCCAATGCCAGAATACGGGGATTCAATCAAGAAAGCGTTGCTTCATTCTTCGATTTGTACGAAAAGGAATTATCGAAAATCAATTTTGCACCACAAAGGTTGTTTAACGTGGATGAGACAGGGATTAGTGTGGTGCAACATAAAAGAAGTAAGGTCATTTCTGCTAAAGGTAAAAAGCAAGTAGCAACACTTACATCAGCTGAAAGGGGAGGCCTTATTACAGTGGTGACATGCATGAATGCCGTAGGAACTTACGTACCGCCTTTAATTGTGTGGCCTAGAAAAAATATGAAAATTGAATTGATGGACGGTGCGCCAACCGGTTCCATTTACGCATGTCACCCTTCTGGATGGATTCAAGCCGAAATATTTACACAATGGTTTGACCATTTTATTAAATTCACAAAGCCAACACCATCAGATCCTGTGTTATTGGTGCTCGATGGACACTACTCCCATACGCGTAACATAGACGTAATAAATAAAGCTAGAGAAAACCACGTATCAATTGTTTGCCTACCTCCCCACAGCACACATCGCATGCAACCGTTGGATGTAGGATTCATGGGGCCTCTGAAAACGTACTATGCTCAGGAAATTGAGACTTGGCTGCGAAACAACCCTGATCGTATTGTCACGCCATTTATCATTGCAAGACTATTTTCAGTTGCATATAACAGAGCAGCCACTATGGAGGTTTCGGTGAACTCGTTTAGAACAACGGGACTATTTCCGCTTAATAGAAATATTTTCCGAGATCATGACTTCTCAGTGTTCGAAGTTGAGGAGAAATTAACAGTCCCTGAAGATACTGTAAGTCGTCCTCCACCGGGATCTTCCACAGAATCTAGAAACATTGAATATACTTCAGGAAAATCAGAAGGTATCAGTTGCATTAAAACAGCTTTAGATAGGGGGGAACTTCCAAAGATTCTAGCGATATTGAGGATGCCGCAGATGATCCACGGCCGGGAAATTCAAAAGAGTCCAATGATCAGGGGGCTGTAAATAGTTCTCGTAAAGCCGTCAAATACCTTTCAGAACCTACAAAGCTTGTCAGTCCAGTGCAGATAAAACCTCTTCCCAAAATAAAGAGCAAGAAGCCCAGTGCTCGTGCAGGCAGTGCAGCATTGATTACCTCATCTCCTTACAAAGATGATTTAACAGAAAGTTTGGATAAGAAACGTAAAAGGAAGATTCCGCAAAACATAGCAAAGTTACATCAGTTACAAAGAAGGTTAAGTTTGACGATGCAAGGGAAGCAAAGTTTCGCAAACCAAAAAGTACTAAACGGTTTAAAAGAAGAGGGCCGATTTAAGTGACAGCTCAACTGATGAAAGCGATGACTTGGGAGAAGTTGTTGTTGATGATGAGAGTGATGGTGACGAAAATTATGACGCAGAATGCCTCTTCTGCACAAGCATGTATTCTGCAGACAAGCATGGTGAACAGTGGGTTAGGTGTACAGTGTGCTACAGATGGGCCCATGAAGATTGTGGTGCAGAAGATCCTATCTTTGTGTGCCCAATGTGTGAAAAAAAACAGAAAAAGTAACTATATAATGTATTTTTATGGTCTATTTACTCTAAATAATGTTATTTGGAAAGAAATTTGTAGGGTCTCATATTAGGAACCCAATTTTTTTTAGTTACTTTTTACATTTTATGAGTATTGTAGCTTTATTTGAAAAAATAAATAAAAAAGTACACTTTCGTTCCGTGTTTTTTAAAGCATAAACCCTTACCAATAAAACAAATCAGTAATAACTTAAAATTTGTTATTTTTACAGAAATTATAGATGTTTTCCAAAATGGGTCTCATATTAGGCGACTTTACCTTACATCTGCCGTAAAATAATCCTCGAAAAAAGCGCTAGGTGAAAGGTCCATTGAATTTCACAAATTTCTCATAAAGTAAAGAAACTAATATATTGAGTCGTATTGAAAATTGTCTGCGTCGAAGAAAACACAGTTGTAGTCAACGCCGCAGACGTAGAACCCTCTCTGTGCGACGTCTCTGTCGTAAGAGGAGTCGTAGGAGATCCTCTAGTAAAAACTGCCATCGCCAGGGTCTGATCACCAGCAATCCTTTCTTGAACTATTTCCGTCGGTTCAGGAAGGAGTGGCGGTTGAATACGCAAAATGTTGGTGTAAAATGTCACGTAGGGATAATCAAAAATATTACGCTGAAGCTTGTAAGAGGACGACGTAGAAAGTCGTAGCAGGAGAAAGCGACGCAAGCCCAGTAGGACCAGAAGAAGACGCAGTAAAAGAAGACGCCGAAGGAGGTGGAGATCCAAATGTGTCGTTTCGTATGTCTGGTGGATGAAAAATAATATTGTCTTTCCAATTTGCTGTCTCATCATGACAAATTTGAGGGAAAATTTTATTAGATTATTGGTTGGAAGGTATTATTGCATAACAGCAGGGATAGCAATGTTATTATTTATCTACAATAAATTGTACATCTGCCGTAAAATAATCCTCGAAAGAAGCGCTAGGTGAAAGGTCCATTGAATTTCACAAATTTCTCATAAAGTGAAGAAACTAATATATTGAGTCGTATTGAAAATTGTCTGCGTCAAAGAAAACACAGTTGCAGTCAACGCCGCAGACGTAGAACCTCTCTCTGTGCGACGTCTCTGTCGTAAGAGGAGTCGTAGGAGATCCTCTAGTAAAAACTGCCATCGCCAGGGTCTGATCACCAGCAATCCTTTCTTGAACTATTTCCGTCGGTTCAGGAAGGAGTGGCGGTTGAATACGCAAAATGTTGGTGTAAAATGTCACGTAGGGATAATCAAAAATATTACGCTGAAGCTTGTAAGAGGACGACGTAAAAAGTCGTAGCAGGAGAAAGCGACGCAAACCCAGTAGGACCAGAAGAAGACGCAGTAAAAGAAGACGCCGAAGGAGGTGGAGATCCAAATGTGCCGTTTCGTATGTCTGGTGGATGAAAAATATTGTCTTTCCAATTTGTGTCTCATCATGACAATATTTGAGGGAAAATTTTATTAGATTATTGGTTGGAAGGTATTATTGCATAACAGCAGGGATAGCAATGTTATTATTTATCTACAATAAATTGTACATCTGCCGTAAAATAATCCTCGAAAAAAGCGCTAGGTGAAAGGTCCATTGAATTTCACAAATTTCTCATAAAGTGAAGAAACTAATATATTGAGTCGTATTGAAAATTGTCTGCGTCAAAGAAAACACAGTTGCAGTCAACGCCGCAGACGTAGAACCTCTCTCTGTGCGACGTCTCTGTCGTAAGAGGAGTCGTAGGAGATCCTCTAGTAAAAACTGCCATCGCCAGGGTCTGATCACCAGCAATCCTTTCTTGAACTATTTCCGTCGGTTCAGGAAGGAGTGGCGGTTGAATACGCAAAATGTTGGTGTAAAATGTCACGTAGGGATAATCAAAAATATTACGCTGAAGCTTGTAAGAGGACGACGTAAAAAGTCGTAGCAGGAGAAAGCGACGCAAACCCAGTAGGACCAGAAGAAGACGCAGTAAAAGAAGACGCCGAAGGAGGTGGAGATCCAAATGTGTCGTTTCGTATGTCTGGTGGATGAAAAATAATATTGTATTTCCAATTTGGTGTCTCATCTTGACAATATTTAAGATTGCAGATACTGTGGAAAATGCTGCAGCTTAAATTTGAGGGAAAATATTATTAGATTATTGGTTGGAAGGTATTATTGCATAACAGCAGGGATAGCAATGTTATTATTTATCTACAATAAATTGTACATCTGCCGTAAAATAATCCTCGAAAGAAGCGCTAGGTGAAAGGTCCATTGAATTTCACAAATTTCTCATAAAGTGAAGAAACTAATATATTGACTGGTATTGAAAATTGTCTGCGTCGAAGAAAACACAGTTGCAGTCAACGCCGCAGACGTAGAACCACTGCGCGACGTCTCCAACGTAAGAGGAGTAGTAGGAGATCCTCTAGTACAGCGGTTCCCAAACTGTGCTCCGCGGAGCACAAGGTGCTCCGTGGTACGTTTTCAAGTGCTCCGCGGATTTCATCTGAGAAATATCGTATTCAAGTAATACCTATAATGTTATATTTTCCTTGATGTTACATCAAGCCCCTTACTAATGCAAAGATTCGCCGCGCCGCACTTCAATGTACTGTGCGCCGGAACAGTTCGGAAACAATCGTATTTTTTCGTATTAATGCTAGGATATGACTTGTTCTTTCCGGAACATACGATTTACGTTCGCTAAATGTGTGTCGGGTGCATCGTAAAGAGATAACACAGTTTTTATTTATTTTTTGCGATTGTGCCTTTGAATTTCACTAATTGAATTGAAGTTGGGATAAGTTATCATTCGTAAGTAGGTTAACTAACATACATGTATCATTTTTTATGGTGAAATATCTATTCCCAGGTTAAATTTACTTGTTTTATAATGGATCTTTGGCTTAAAACAGGTGTTTTGAAGAAAACAGCGATTTCAGCTACAGATGCAGAAATGCAGGGATCTAACTCCAACAGGTACGGATTTGTACATTTTAAGGTAGGGGAAATACTGGTAAAATGGGATACTTACGTTTGACGTGAAATAAAAATTACTGTATAAGTGGCAACGCATATTTCGTTTTAGGCATATTTCCCCTACTACAAAAGCAGTTTTTTGTGCTTGTGTGTGAGTTTTTTGGGAACGGGTAGGTGCCAGATTTTTAAAATCTTATTTTTAAAAGTATTTGTCTGAATCGAGTATTGTTTTTAGCAATATGGAAAAAGAAAATAGGGAAATAGCTCACACTGAAGACACAGAATTGCAGATATTGAGAAAATCCGAGTCTGTTGCGAGTGTACTAACATCAGCTGAAGTAATTGATTGTCAAACATCTGGTCCATCAAAGATGAGTATTTGTGAGAGAAAAACTGCAAAACGAAAAACCATGATTCTTATCTGGATATAGGATTCATTGAAACCAACGACAATAAACCACAATGTGTAATATGCGGTAAAGTGTTACCCAACAGTGCTATGTTTCCAGCGAAAATGCGACGACATTTGGAAGGAGTTCATCCTGAATGTAAAGACAAACCGAATGATTTTTTCAAAGAAAATCCAGTGAATTAAAAAATACACAAAAAAGTATAACTTTTCATGCACAGACACTGAACGAAAGGTCGTTAAAAGCATCCTACTTAGTTAGTTACCGAATCGCTAAAGCAGGCAAGCCTCATGTTATTGCTGAAACTTTAATCAAGCCTTGCGTCAAAGATATAGTTGAAACTATGATGGATGAAAAGGATGTGAAACTAGTTACTACAGTTCCACTATCAAATAACACTATTTCTAGGCGCATTGTAGAAATGGCTGATGACGTAAAAAACACTTTAATTTCTCGAATAAAAGGTAGTTCCTTTTCGCTACAGCTTGATGAATCGACAGATGTGGCTGGATTGGCTGTATTGATAGTTTTTGTTCGCTTCCAATTTGGCAACACTTTTCAAGAAGATTTGCTTTTTTGCAAGCCACTACCAACTAGTACTACTGGGGCTGAGATTTTCAAATTGCTTGACGAATTTTTTGTTGCACATGATATACCTTGGAAGAATTGCATTGATGTATGCACCGATGGCGCAAAGGCTATGACTGGAAAAACAAGTGGTGTTGTAGCTAGAATTAAAGAAAAAAATAGTAACTGCAATAATAGTCACTGTGTTCTTCATCGTCATGCATTAGCCGTCAAAAAAATGTCACCTTCCTTAAAAGAAGTTTTGGATGAATGTGTAAGAATAATTAATTATATCAAATCTCGCCCCCTAAATTCCAGGTTGTTTAAAATATTGTGTGATGATATGGGTAGTCTACATACGACTTTACTGCTTCATACGGAGGTAAGATGGCTCTCACGGGGCAAAACTTTAACTCGGCTATTTGAATTAAGAGCCGAAGTAAGGAGTTTTTTGATGGAAAGTGACTTCGCATTAAAAGGGAGATTTAACGAAGAGCAATGGATATCAAAGTTGGCATATCTGGCTGATATTTTTTCTAAAGCTAATGATTTAAGCACGTCACTTCAAGGAAAGTCAATTTCTGTTTTTGATGTTAACGACAGAATAAAAGCGTTTAAAAGAAAATTGGTCTTTTGGGCAGAGTCCCTGAATAAACAAAATTTGGACAGCTTTCCGTCGTTAAAAGAACTTAAAGAAGAATTTGATTTTGATCTACCAAATGATCTTATGAACGAGTTCTATATTCATCTTGAAACTTTACGCAATAATTACCAGGAATATTTTCCAGAAGAATTTCATGACAAAATGAATTACAATTCTTGGGTTGCAAACCCATATAACGCAATACCTGAAAAGCCAGCGAGTTTAACATCTGAAGAATATGAATGTTTGATCGACTTGACATCTGATTCTGGAATACGAGATATATTTCTAACAAAGTCATCAATAATAGAATTTTGGTGTAAACTTAGACATGAATTTCATCTTCTGTCAGATAAAGCAAAAACTATTCTGCTCCCTTTTGCTACTACTTATTTATGTGAAGCTGGATTTTCTGCTTATCTTATGACCAAAACTAAATACCGGTCGCGTCTTAATACAGAACCTGATATTCGTTTACAGTTGTCTGAAATTGAACCTAACATCACAGCATTAAGCAAATTAACAAGCACATCCTTCTCATTAGAAAAGTTGGTGGTTTTATTAAGTAGTTGTAGTTTTGTTTTTGGATGTATGTTTTATGTTTCATTTTTGTATCGAAATAAGTTTTTGTTTTATGTTATTTTCACACATTACTTTTAAAATTTGCTTTTGGCTTATATTAGGTATATTTAATAAATATTACATTTTTTTCTGTGCTAGAGTTAGTTGTTCTTTTTGTTTAATAAATATTTGTTTCTTCAATGTACGTTTCTAAAATTGAACAAAGACCTATATCCAGTTGCAGGCAGTTGAAACCATCAAACAGCCTACTCTAGTGCTCCGCGTTAAATTTTCCTGTCCAAAAGTGCTCCGCGACTTAAAAAGTTTGGGAACCGCTGGTGTAGAACATGGACATTACGAGTATACCCGCTTACCATATGGTTTGAAAAATGCCCCAAGTACATTTCAGAGAGTAGTTGACAATGTTTTACAAGGATTACAAGGCAAAGTTTGTTTAGTAATATGGACGATATTATAATTTTTTCCACTAGTCTTGAAGAACATATTGCAAATTTGAAATTAGTATTTCGGAGACTAAGGGACACACAATTGAAAATTCAACCAGACAAATGTGAATTTTATGCAAAGAAGTTGAATATTTAGGACACGTAGTTACTTGTGATGGTGTAAAACCGAATCCCAAAAAGATACAAGCAATAACACAATTCCCAATTCCAAAAACAGTCAAAGAAATCAAATCGTTCCTAGGTCTTTTAGGTTATTATAGACGCTTTATCGAAAATTTTGCCAAATTAACAAAACCACTTACGAAATGTCTTAAGAAAGGATCAAAAATTGAACATAATGCAGAATTTATCAAAGCTTTTGAAACTTGCAAAAATATTCTAACCAACGAACCTATTTTACAATACCCAGATTTTGAAAAGTCTTTTATTTTGACTATTGATGCCTCAAATTACGCAATAGGTTGTATTCTTAGCCAAGGAAAAGTAGGACAGGATCGACCGATTGCCTATGCATCACGAACTCTAAATCCAGCAGAATGTAATTATAGTACAATAGAAAAAGAATTATTAGCAGTAGTATATGGTGTGAAATACTTCAAACCATATCTATGGGGACGTGAGTTTACCATAGTTAGCGACCACAAACCCCTCGAATATTTGTTTAACATGAAAGAACATAACCCCAGACTTTTACGTTGGAAACTGTTTCTTGAACAGTTCAATTACAAAATTCAATATAAACCTGGAAAAATAAATAGCAATGTTGATGCTTTATCTCGCGTAGAACTTAACGCCATCCAAGATGAAACGGATCAGTCAATAATTGCAAATCTTGGAGATTCTGATGAAGATATCCTTCAGTTTCTACAAGACGATGATAACCCCGAAATAAATATTGAAGACTTACAAGAACTAGAGGAATTTCTCATCCCTGAAGTTCCTGATAACTCTAACAAAATACAAATAATTTCAGATATCCAAATTGTACCCCCTCAGCCAAGTAATGACAGTATTACAGTCCATACAGCAGTAGAAAACCCCATATTAGAGATACCCTTCACTGAATGTTACTAACAAATTTTCGAATCAGATAATTATAGAACGAAATCATCCTATCGATATCATATTGTAAGGACTAAGCCCTTCGAAAATGTTAATAAAATACAGTTACAGCTTAGCGATAACATAGAGGAAGAAATCATAAAGTTTTTCAAAGACTATGTTGATCCAAACAAAGTATATTGTATTTTTGTCAAAGGTTCAGAAATTGAAGATTTAAATATCCAGATTAGCAAAATACTACCATTGTATTTCAAAAACCACGCATATAAACTTTATTTTTCTAATCAGCTTGTTAGAGATATTTCAGACAAAGACAGACAAAAAGAATTAATCTCTCATCATCATGAAACAAAGACTTGTCACAGAGGAATTAACGAAACGTTACTTTCCCTTAAAAAACTATACTACTGGAAGAATATGCAAAAAATGGTAACAGAATACATAAATAATTGTGAGTTATGTCAAGTAGCAAAGTATGACAGACATCCACCAAAAATAAAATTTTCACTTACACCAACGCCAAAGCAACCCCTAGAAGTCTTACATATGGACACTTTCCAATTTTCTAACACAAAATTTCTTACTGTTATTGATTCATTTTCAAAATATGCACAAGCCTATCATTTAGATCCAGTTGTACAGCCACAACAGTGTATGAAAATATTTTGATATTTGTGAATCATCACGGCATTCCTCAATCTGTTACTACTGATAACGGAAGAGAATTCAATAATTCCTTATTTACTGAATTTTGTAAATTACACAAAATCCAGCTTCACTTTACTACACCATGTAATTCGA